AATGTTACGAAATGTTACATTTGAGGTGTAATGTAGCATTTTCCCAAAATTTCATAAGATTTGCTAAATCGGACAATGTTGTAACAATGCTATTCCAAAAAATTGCTCAGCGTAATGTAGCATTTTCCACAATTTCCCACCATTTTCCAGAAAAATGGGGAATTTGCATTTTTTGAATTTTGGACAATGGTGCCCCTTCGACCTGTGTTATGCTACTTATACGGAAAGTTCTGAATTGATTATAGACATATTCTGTTGTGTCATACGTGATAGCTTTAGTTATTTGTGGTCAAAGAATCAGATATGATAGGATTGGTATCGATCATCTAACACAAAAAAATTAATCGCATGTATGTACTAAGCTTGCTTTTAGTGGAACTAGTTTCACCAACAAGATTTTATTCACGTGTGATCCATTTAACAGGACTTGATTGTAGCAGAATTTCCATGAATTGGCAAAGTATTCATGGCGTAGTACAATACCTACAAAGTAGTCTTCATGAAGCTGAAAAATTAGTCGAAATGATTACAGAAATGGATCAACTATGATTAATCATCTCCTGCATAACGAATAACGAATACAATGTGTGGAGCGCAATACTCTTACTGTCTTATTTTCGATTTTACTATTGACTTATGAAAGATGGAAATAATGCAATTAAATTTTATTCTACTCACTTTAACACTGTAAGACGATTTTATCCGATGTTTCTGATCCAGTGGTAATTTCTTAAGTAAAGATTCCTTCTATCCTCTAATATTTGAAGCGTTTCAGGTGAAATGCTAGAGCAGCCAGTAACATAGATTAGGGTTTTTCTTGTTCGTTCTTTCGCCTTATGAACGATATTATCCGTGATTACGCAACCTGAAAGGTTAACGTATTGTAATCTACCGCAAGATTCTAACAGAGAGTTTACAGTGTCATCCTGTATATTTCCACAGCCTGAAACATTTATATACCGCAGATTTCGACAGCTTTTGGCTATTTCAATCATGGCCTGAGAAGAGATGCCCACACAGTATCTGAGATTAATTTTTTCCATTTTGGCACAATTTTTTGCCACTTCATAAACAGCAGAATCATCAATAAAAGAGCAACCTTCTAAAATCAAGAACCGTAGTTTTTACATCTTGAAGCAAACAATTGTATATCATGACTTGTTAACCATCGATTACGATTATTTTCAAAACATGCATCATCCGCTTTGAAGTTAAAATATTCAAGATTCTCGCATCTTGATGAAAGCATTTCCATAGTCCCATTCGCAAAGCGCATAGAGACACAGCCACTGAGATTGAGATAATATAAGTTCTGACATTTTCGTGCCAATTCTTTTACTGACACATTTGTGATTTCTCTGCATCCTTTCAGAGAAACATGCTGCAGATAAGGGCACTTGTTTGCAATGTTTACAATGGCAGCATCGGTAATGTTGTCACAATATTTAAGAACAAGTTGTGCGAGACTTGGACTTTCTACAGATATCCAGAAAATATCCACAAAGCCAATATCAGAGAGGGATACATTCAGGCTTTGTAAATTTCTACACGTCATTGATAGCCAGAATCAGCTTATAGATGAAAGTTGACATCTCAAAAGTCCTAAATGCTTTAAATTCCTCGCATATCGAAGGATGTCTATCATATCTTTATCAGTTACCAGTTCGCATTGAATAATTATCATATGCAGCTCTTTACAGTTCTGTACTATGTATGAGACATCTTTTTTATTCATACAATTGTCAAAGCACATTATTGCTAGCTTACGTACGTGTTGTAATCCTGGTGGAGGATATGGTCTGGAATATAATACTTTTCTTAGTCTATCACAGTCAGGGAGATAACCATATTGATAGCCTATCTCCTTCCACAACATGGGCAGCGCAATCTCATACCAAGACCTATTGACTAGTAATATTGGAAAAAGATTACATGGATTGATAAAGCTAAATATACAATATACCATCTCATTGGTTGTTAATAGACCCGGAGTGGATACCATCTTAAATGTTTAGTTATATAATTATTGTAAATCTTCCTTTCAAAAATGGTTCACAAGTAGAATGCGATGGAGATAGAGATAATCCACAGTCATAGGATGTACGTTTTTTTGTTAAATAATTTCTGGTTGGAATAGATTCGTAAGATAGAATTACTGATATTAAGAATTCATCATATGATCCTGCATTATATACCTAATCTCTGATCATAAATATGATAATACGGACCATGTGGACTTATTTGTTAACGATATACCAAGTGTTCACATCTGCTTTACTGAACGTCTGAACCTAAAGAAGTGGCTAAATCTTTACATAATAGCGCAATTCCAATAAGAGGATTTTGCAAATTGCTTCCATTGTATAGTTTGGGACAACGTAACACTGGTGGAAATAGCACTGGTAAAAAAATGATTTATCCTACACATATCTTACACATATTGGGTACTCAAAATGTAGAAAATCATACACAAATAATACACATATCATACACATATCGGGTACTAATATATATATCATACATATATCAGGTATCTGATAGGTATACTATATATATAAATACCCGATATGTGTATGATATGTATATTATTTGTGTATGATTTTCTACATTTTGAGTACCCGATATATGTAAGATATGTGTAGGATATGTGTAGGATAGACCATTTTTTTACCAGTGTAGTCCAAATCAGCTAGAAATTGGATGTCCGATTTTAGGCTAAATTTGGTGATAAAGATGGCTGATTTATTAATTTAGGCAAAGTTCTGATTGGCAGGCCGATCGATGCTGATCAGAATATCGAATTGCTTAGTATTTTTAATCCGAATTGTTTAAAAAAATATATTCATTAATTTACCGAATTGCAGTGAATTTATTCTGAATTATAATAAATTTTGATAAGTTGCAATAAATTTTAATCTGAATTGCAGTAAATTTTAATCTGAATTACAGTAAATTTTAATCTGAATTGCGGTAAATTTTCTATTCTGAATTGCGGTAAATTTTAATCTGAATTGCAGTAAATTTTCTAATCTGAATTGCGGTAAATTTTCTATTCTGAATTGCAGTAAATTTAATCTGAATTGCGGTAAATTTTAATCTGAATTGCGGTAAATTTTCTAATCTGAATTGCGGTAAATTTTCTATTCTGAATTGCGGTAAATTTTAATCTGAATTGCAGTAAATTTTATTCTGAATTTATTCTGAATTGCGGTAAATTTGCAGTAAATTTATTTCAAATTGTAATTAATTTTTTTCTGAATTAAGACAAATTTATTTTGAATTATGGAAAATTCTAATACTAATAATTTGGAATATTAATATAGATTTTTGACGAAAAAAAGAAAGTTTTCTACCAAATTAATTCAGATTTGTTCATTACGCGTCATCCACATGTAAATCAGAATCTGAATTATTATGATTGTCACCGACTGTTGATTTTGATGGTTTTTCTTCTTCTTCCTTGTTATGGTCTTCATCATTTTCGGTGGTGTTGCCAGTTGCTGGTGTTGTTCCTCTACTAACTTCTTCTACTTCTTTATCATATTCAGTGTTGAAACCCTGATCGATATCAGTATCGAATATTAAATCTTGTTGTTGTACGATATAAGACCATTTATAAGTATTCGACGGATGTCGTCGGTTGTATTTTTGTACCTCGTCGTTATATTTACGTTCGTGTATTAATTTCACCTTATTTAATGAGTGTACATCGAGTACATTTCGTAGCAAATTTTTAAGCTGAAGAAACAATAAAATATAAAAATTAAATCCAGCGATTCGTCTGAAAAATCAAGATTCAGAAGTTCTAACCTCATCAGATCTTCACGAATAGTCGTAAATAGCGATTATGAATTTTGTTGGGTCTTCTTCGTCTGTCTCGCTTATTTCTGGAGAATGAAATAAACAATTGGCGGATAACATCTTTAGTAATCTATGCTTATCATATTTTGTTATCCGTTCATCGTCAAAACTATATAATCTCTTTGCCGCCTTCATTCGATGGATTTTCTTCTAAAATACGTTATAATTTGAATAAAATTCAATACATAATCGGAATAAAATTCAGCATAATAATTATAAATCATTACTAACGTCATGTGCTCGATTGTTTGAGTGCACCCGGTGTTTATTTTCATCGGCTTTTCCCTATCCATTAATCTTTGATGAGAATGATGAGACTTGTGGAGACAACCTAACTATTTTGTAAGTTGCTTATTCAAAGCGGAAAAACATAGAGCAAGGGCTGAACGCAATTCAGGGACTAGCTTACGACGAATCTTGAGATTTTTTGCGCTATTGAATGTTTCATTGTAATCTAGTCCTCAAGTTTCATCGATGGTTTCAAAATAGACTTCATTTCAGCCTAAATATAACGATCAAATAATGATAACTGGTACTTAATTACTCAATATTGCAATTTTAAATAACTGAATCAGACAAATAAAATTAATATAACCTAGCTTTTTTTTCGTCGTACTCATCATTATTGTTAGAACCAGACCCTTCTTCCTCTGATTCTTCCTCATATCGCTCGGACTTTTTTGTTTTAATTCTTTTTTGACGTTTTGCCAGCTGTTCGAGATCCGTCTGCCTATGAATGGCTTTAGGCAGGCGGATTCTCGAATACCTGTTTAAGCTTTCATGTAGATCATCATTCTCGTCTGCAAAGGCCTCGTTTACTCGAGTCAAAAAACTATTTTCATCGAATAATCAGTTATTTTCGCGTTGAAGCCTTGCATTCTCTACTTGTACTTCATCAATTTGTTTCTTTAATTTTAGATTTTCTAAATAAAAAATTTTATTAATAGTAATATTTTTTTATGAATAATTCTGAATTTATACAAATGAAGTCAAAATCGTACCTGCTTCTAAATCAGTATCGTCGTCATCAATCACCTTTTCATTACTTTGATCATCTTTAACCACTAATACGAATTTTTGTGAAATTCGAATATTCCCATATCATTTTTTCATTTCTGATAACATCTCTTGTTGATCTATAAAATTATTAATTATCGTACATGTCAATCAACAATTTTCCAAAATTCAATTACCTTTAGGAATATTTGGCGGTTCAATTTCTATAACCTCATCGTCAGACTCTTCTTAAGTCGGCTTAGTCGACTTTGCAGATTTAAGGATCGACTTGATAGGTGCTGATTTGCTAGTCGACTTATTGGTCTTGCCACTCGTCTCATTTGGAACACTTTCTTCTTCCATTCTTCCCTGTTGATGCTTAGATCCTTCGCTCAGTGTTTCTTTTTGAAACCTTTGCTGCTTTTGTTTGTTTGACTTGGTGAGTAATGATTTGCTAATCAACTTATTGGTTTTGTCACTCGTCTCATTCGGATCACTTTCTTCTTCTGTTCTTCCCCGTTGACGATTAGATCCTTCGTCAGGTATTTCTTCTTCAAACCTTTGCTGCTTTTGTTTGTTTGACTTGATGGGTGACGATTTGCTAGCCGACTTATTGGTTTTGTCACTCGTCTCATTTGGATTACTTTCTTCTTCCGTTCTTCCTCGTTGACGATTAGATCCTTCGTCAGGTGTTTTTTCTTGAAACCTCTGTTGCTTTTGTTTGTTATTTTTTTTATTGTTTTTTTTATTATTGCTATTATTTGACATTTTGATATTCACTTAATATTCGTTTAAAAAATCAAAGCGGGTTCAATATCGTCATATCATCCTATTTATAAATTTAAAAAATCAAATCAATTAATTAAAATTAAGAAAATCGTTAGCGTCCTACTGCGTTGATTTCTCAATTGACAAATCAACTATAAATCATAATTAAAAAAGACAAATCAATTAATAATAAGAAAATCNGATCTACAACAATTGATTTTTACTTTTCTATTTCAATTATGGATGCTACCGATAATGTATATTTACAAAAATTATCTCAAAATTTACTTGAAATATTGAATGATGATGGACATCATGATGTTACAATTGAAGTCGGTGATGATCCTTACGTAAAAACGTTTCATGCTCATTCAATTATTTTAAATTATCGTTCTCCTTATTTTCGAAAAATTTTGTCAACTAATGATGAAAAGAAAAGTGATGAAAATTTGCCGCATATAAAATTACCAAACATTTCACCTGAAATTTTTCAAATAATTTTAAGGTAAGAAAATTTTCTTAATTAAAAAAAAATAAATACATTATTATTATTATTATTATTTTATTATATTAATTTTATAATCGTTGATTTCATTTTAAGATATATTTATGGAGGAATAATTTCTTTGAAAGAATATGATGCTTCCGATATCGTTAAAATTTTAGTTGCCGCAAATGAGTTAAATCTTGAAGAATTAATTCCGAATACACAATTATTTTTGATTATGCACGAAATGAATTGGATTGAAAAAAATTTTAATTTGATATATCGAACGAGTTTTGAAAATGATTCTTTCTCAGAACTTCAAAATTTTTGTACGGAGTTAATGTCTAAACAACCTGAAAAAATTTTTAATTCATCCGATTTTACTTCAATTTCAGAAAAAGCTTTGATCTCTATTATTCAAAATGAAAATCTTCAAATGAGTG